AGCCCTGGGAGAGTTCCTTGAAGGCAAAGAATGGAAACTGCCATGGCATAAGGGAAAACCCTCCTTCTCTTTAAGACTTAACAGCAGATCTCCGTTTCTCTTAATGAAACTGGGCAATAACAAGAACAAACTGGGTGCGTCTCTTTACAGTTAAGGTAAGAGGGAGGATGGTTGCAGGATGGACTGCTATGGTCAGCTGCACCACAGACAAGGAATCTGTCTTTGACCTGCAATACTTTGTTGAGTGGCCAAAGCACCAGCAATTTCTACACTATTGTGGCATAGGAATCAATTATTGTGCTTGTAAGTGCTCTTTCGTTATTTAAACAGAGGGTGGAAATTCACGGCAGTCAAAAGTTAACTACATTACAAGGATAGTGTCTCCGTCTCCACCCATGGGCAGGTAATACGTGTTTATTTTAAGAATCGGAAGGTCCAGGAGCTCGAGTTGCTCCATAATGTCTGCATCACCCGTTAGAAAATCTTGTTGAACGATGGTATGTGGAAGAACAAGAGTTCTGCAGCAAGAATTAAGAGCAGTGTGTTCACAAATCGTGACAGGATTGTTAATGATGCTATGAATGGAAAGACAGTGAGAATGTTCAGCATTTTGCATAAAATTAAATCTATCGTCCAGAGTGTTGCAGGAATCTGCGGGAGACGTCGATTAAAGAATAAAGAATTTAGTCCATGAGGTACCTCGATCCAAAAATTATAAAGTTTAGTTTAGTTTAATATGTTTATTATGCACCCCATACCCATCCTGTGGGCGGTAGTCAAAAGATTACAGAGGTACATAATGGGTCCAGGGACTGGACTCCAAAGTTTTGATAGTTGAGCAAGTTACAAAGGTAATGAACTCACAATTTGCAAAGGTAATGAACTCCAGGTAAGTCTGGTCACAATCATGACAGTTACAAAGGTATTTACAGATTACAGAGGTACATAATGTGTCCAGGGACTGGGCCCCCAAAGTCCAAAAATTATAAAGGAAGAAACTGTCTAGCAGGTAGTTTATGAGAATAAGAGCAAGAGGTAACCAGGCCATAGGGTTAGAGTCATCTGTTACAGGTCAGGATCGTTTAGATGGGGGACCGGAGATGGTCCATGCTGAGCAGTGTGGACACCGAAAATTGACTTACTGTAGAGGGGGAAGCTGGAATCACAGCCGTGCAGATGTCAGACATATCAAAAGGATCATGTGGAACCTCGGTAGCAGAGGTGGATGAAGAGGTGCTACCCAAAGAGCACCAGGTTAAACCATACCACCGGCGGGATTGAACCTGCGGTCAGAGAGTCTCAAAACTCCAGACCGTCGCGTTACCCACTGGACCAGCTAGCCACAATAAGGTTCGTCCAGCTAGGTATATTTCTACACCATAGGAAGGTTAGCATAGGCACCACTGTGACCACAAATGCAAGTTTTTACAGACGAATCTCCAGCTAACGTGGCCGTGGCGAGTCAGCACCAGGTTCTTTGAAAGGTTAGGAAAAGGGTCCGATCGCTAGGGTCTTGTGAGGATGCCACTAGGGAAGGAGGGGGTCTGAGAGGAAGTAGTTCATGGATGTGTGTCTTCAAGATAAGGGTTCTTTTATTTCTTAAGAAAGGGGGAGGGGGAAAAATAGCTTCAACGAGACACAAAAAGAGATCGTATATCTGCCTCCGCGCCCAAGAGGACCCTCAGCAAGGCTGGTACAACAGATGAAAATGAAATGAAAATGAAAATTTTTATTTCCTTGCAAAGCTTGCAATGTGTGGTTTACATATTATAAGATATTAATTACAAAGAAAGCCACTAGCATGCCTAGGTATTTCAGGCAGACTAATTCTTATTCTTACTGACTATTCAATATTGACACAGGTTATGGAGCAGTACATTTTAATATTCATAATTGCATATTAGTATAAAAGTTAGGTAATTAAAAAGTTTATCATTAATAAGATTGATAAAAGTGAGGTAGTACAACACATATAACAGTATTACAATTAGTATAGTTTAGTAATGGGAATGGTTTTATCTCGGCTTGATACACTGTTTCAATAATCCAAAGCTCCTGCATTGTCTGAGTATTTCAGGCAAACTTAAAACTAACTTAAGATTGGGAATGTTATGTTTACAGTCATTTGGGTGAAAGTATAAAATTGGGAGAATTGCAGATAATGATGTGTTCATGACACTGAAAATAGCATGTGTGGTTTTCACATATCTAACTGATGATGGGTGAGTTAGGGAGATAAGGTGTTTTTTAACGGTAGTTTTGAAAATACTTGTTGAGTCAGCGGTTCTGGAGATTTCGGGCAGAGAGTTCCAGATTTTTGGCCCTTTTATGTACAGTGAATTTTTGAAGATGTTCATTGAACCCGTGCCTTACCCTATTCTCCATGCCAGTTAACCAGCAATCCAGGATAACCATCTAACATCCACTGTGCCACCTCGGCAAACAAAAGAGAGGGTGGTCGGAAGCCTGCCACGAGATATAACTCCTTCAGCCACCACTTCCCAGAACCGACAGGTAGCCTTAAGAGATACACCTGTCACCTTAAGAATTCCCAAAGCAGCCCTCCAGAACTCCCAAGGGAGGATCAGCACATCCACAGATTATCCAGATTCCACAGGAAACACCACCACCACCGAGGGCCTCAACAGGACGGACAGCAATACTCTTTCCTCAACCCAGGAGCTATAACTCCTGAGGGAAAATCCCCAAAGGCCAAATGTGAGAAAGGGAGAAGAGGGGAGAGATATGAAGAGGTGGGATGGGAAAAATGGGGTGGGAAGGTGTGAGGGGCATTTAGAAGGAAGAAGAAGACCAAAAGGTCCAATTTCTTAGACCAGGAGCCTCTTCATCATTGCAAGAACCCCCCATCCCTTGAAGAGGCAATAACTGTAAAATGCATCTTTTGGTAACTTTAAATATTTATCGTTGATGTGATTTCCTCAAAGGAAACAATATCTTGATGACAGGTTGTGTAAATTATTATTGACCAATTTTATTAATGAAATTGGTTTCGTTGAAATAATTGGAATGTTTCTTATGTTCAGAAATAAGTCATTGTTTTACTTTATTTGGTTACCCGAGGTTAAACCAACTTAATGTTTTGTATGTACCTAATAATATCTGTGTTCCATCAAGATCATTCTTAAATATTTGTATCTTATGTATATTAAGCTTACATAAAACTTGCTCTCTTGAAAGATGGTCAGTTTCGCCTAGAGAAAAGTTTGGATTGGTTTTCTTTTAGAGGGAAAAAATGGACAAATTGAAATATTGCTTTCATGTGATAATTTCTGAGTGTTGCTTCTGCAGATTACTTGACAACGCAGCTTCAAGCTTAATGTGTTTATTTATTTCAAGATATTGGCTCTTTGGGGTCGTAATTTACTGGGTGCTAGTGGCTTGTCTCGTGACTTGGTTGATAGCATCCTCAGCTCACATACTGAGGATACGGGATTGATCCCCGGCACAGATAAAACGTTGGACGTTTCCTTACACCTGCTACCCCTGTTCACCTAACATTAAGTAGATATCTGGGTGTTAGACAACTGTTGTGGGTCGCATCCTGGGGGATGCTTTGCATAACCAGGGGCTTTATATGTAGTATGCCAATGATGTCAGCTAGGTCCCTATCGACTGTATTATGTACTTGTACAAATGATGATGCCAGTTGCAGAAATATGGATATTTGTTTCCAAATGATGACTTGTAAATATCTCTTCTGATTAGCTCAAAATCATCAACACTAATATTTAACTACATTATCAACTTATGTTGCCTAGTGTCCTCTTCCAGTCACGTGTATTGAGACACAGGAGACTTGGTTATGGAACGCGGCGACGCCTTTCTCCGATCCCGAAGCGACCAAAATGCATCTAGTTGAGTCAGACTCAGAGGAAAAATGTTTCTCGTGTGACGAAGCCATAGATGCAGGTACAAATAACAAAAAAAAAAAGGCACAATACCGTGACTGGAACGATACACAAATAACCCGCACATAGAAGAGAGGAGCTTGCGACGACGTTTCGGTCCGACTTGGACCAATTACAAAGTCACACTAACGAAAAGGAGAGAAGGTGTATATATAGGCAGGAGGTGGTAGTAGTAGTAGTAGTAGTAATGGACATAGAAGGTAGTAGTAGACTTAACCTGATTCCTCCTTTTTCTTCTTCTCCGTCTTCCCCTTTCCTCTTTCCTTTTCCTCTTTTGGGTTGATTTCTTCTGCCTTGTGTATTTGTTCTTTCATTATTTATTTATTTATTCCCCCCCCCCTCTCTGTGTTCTTGCTCTTACCCTGTGTGGGCACCAGCTCCCTTGTGGGCACCAGCTCCCTTGTGGGCACCAGCTCCCTTGTGGGCACCAGCTCCCTTGTGGGCACCAGCTCCCTTGTGGGCACCAGCTCCCTTGTGGGCACCAGCTCCCTTGTGGGCACCAGCTCCCTTGTGGGCACCAGCTCCCTTGTGGGCACCAGCTCCCTTGTGGGCACCAGCTCCCTTGTGGGCACCAGCTCCCTTGTGGGCACCAGCTCCCTTGTGGGCACCAGCTCCCTTGTGGGCACCAGCTCCCTTGTGGGCACCAGCTCCCTTGTGGGCACCAGCTCCCTTGTGGGCACCAGCTCCCTTGTGGGCACCAGCTCCCTTGTGGGCACCAGCACCCTTGTGGGCACCAGCTCCCTTGTGGGCACCAGCTCCCTTCCAGTGCTCCTCTTTTCTAGTATTTGACCGGCTCCTCCTCCTTCTTACTACCCCCCCCCCACTACTACTACCTTCTACCTCCACTACTACTACTATTATCACCTCCTGCCTATATATACCCCTCCATCTCTCATTTTCGTTCGTGTGACTTTGCAAATGGTCCAAGTTGGACCGAAACGTCGTCGTAAGCTCCTCTCTTCTATGTGCGGGTTATTTGTGTATGCAGGTACAAGGCATCTCCAACTATGCAACAATGTAGTTTATATATATAAGGTGTAGGTATATAGTAAAGAAGTGCACTCCCGACAGGTGCAGTGTGAGGAGGTACAGAGGTGGGTTCAGCCCTGGGCTGTGCTCAGTGTTGTCACACACGCTGAAAGAACTATCTATATCTATAGCTACACCAGAAGACGGACCACTGCTAGCAGCTGCACTCAACACACCCTCCTCCCTCCTTCCTCGACTACCAAGTCTCAACAAACTATGTGAGTTATTGCATAGCTTACATTAATATTTAGCTTCAGCATTAAAAAATTATATATATATATATATATATATATATATATATATATAATATATATATATATATATATATATATATAAATATATATATATATATATATATATATATATATATATATATATATATATATATATATATATATATATATATATATATATATATTACATCGTCCCACCACAAGAGAGAACACAATGTACATGTCACGTTATCCACTCAGCCATCGATCCTACAAAAATCACACACCTAGCAGAATTAGGTGTTGTTCGTGATCCGAGGACACTCGTGGCAGTGGTATGCTCAAGGATTAATTTCAGTCTCCTGCAGCAGTTTGGTAAATAATTCAAAACCACTTGTTCCATGGCTTCATTGCTATATGGACTGCTTATTGAGGCGGGTATTCAAACAGGAAGAGGCTGAAATTAAGCCTTCAGCATACCACTGCCATGAGTGTCCACGGATCACGAACAACACCTAGCTCTGCTAGGTGTATGTGTCGTGGGGTCGAACCCTGGCCTGCCGCAGTTTGGTAAATCCACCTCTGGTGCAAATAGTGGGACCCACAGCCTCGGAGAAGTGGATAAAAGACTTCGAGGAAGAATATTTGGATTTCTTCCCGAAGCTATTTGAATATTCCACTTCTCCTACCACCCCATCTTTTCATTCTTTTATACCAGTTGATATATTTTATCACATAATATGTTACAAAAGATTTAAAAGATACATTGCTGGTTTAAAGATAGCATATATAGTACGTGAGGTTTGAGGGATGCATTTAAAGTACATATTGATCACTTGGACAATGAAATATGGATCCCGGGTTACAACCTATACAGATGGACAGAGTGAACAGGCATAAGGTGGGGGTTGGCCTGTATATCACAGAGTCACTTATATGCTCGGAACCACTAAATGCCTCAAATGATGTAATTGAAGTTTCGGCAGTAAAGATCGAGAACCAAAACCTGGTCATTATGTTTGTATACAAGCCTCCGGATGCAACTTCCCAACAATTCCAAGACCAGCTTTAGAAAACTGACCACTGATTGTAAAATCTTCAGGCTCCTGCCTCCAACTTCTTGTTCCTGGAGAATTTCAACCTAAGGCACCTAAAATGAAGAAATGTAGCAAATAATGTTGTATTAGAGATAACACCAGGAGGAAGCTCAGATGAAAACTTGCACACTCACATGAGCTTTTAAATCTCTGCACCAAATTCACCTTAAACCAGCAAATAATAGAGCCTACTAGACTGGAGAATACACTGGACCTCTTCACTAACAATGATGATCTGATACGAAATATTACCACATCAAAAACAATATACTCAGATCACAACATAATAGAGGTACAAACATGTATGTGGGGAGCACTAGACCGACAAAATGTGACCAGTCACAAGGAAGTCTTCACCAAATTCAACTTCAATTACAAAAACATAAAGTGGGACCAAGTAAACCAAGTCCTAACCGATATAAGCTGGGAAGATAGACTAAGCAACACGGATCCCAATCTATGCCTAGAACAAATTAAGTCTGTGGCACTCGAGGAGTGCTCAAGGTGAATTCCTTTAAGGAAAAGGAGAAGATGTAAACTAGAAAGAAAAAGGCGCTCCCTATACAGGCGAAGGCAAAAAATAACAGAGTGGCTAAAAGAGGTCAATATATCTGCAATACGTAGGGAGACACTGGTCAGAGAAATAGCAAACATCGACGTAAAGGTAAAGGAATCTAACAGGAATGAAGAAATGTGGGAAGAACTAAAAGCCATAAACGAAATATTTAATTTCTTATGCAAAATCAAAGTCGAGAACAACATCCAGTATTGGGCCCTTACTTAAACAAGATGGGTCCTACACAGATGACAGCAAGGAAATGAGTGAGCTACTCAAGTCCCATTATGACTCAGTTTTTAGCAAGCCGATAACTGGACTGAGAGTCGAAGACCTTAATGATTTTTTTTATGAGACAGACACAGACTATGGTAGACACAAACCTATCTGATATTATATTCATGCCAAATGACTTCGAACAGGCGATACATGACATGCCCATGCACTCTGCCCCAGGCCCAGACTCGTGGAACTCCGTGCTCATCAAGAACTGCAAAAAGTCCCTATCACGAGCTTTTAAAACATCCAATAGAGAGGGAGCATGGACACGGGGGTCGTCACACAGTTGCTAAAAACAACAGACATAGCCTCACCCCACAAAAGTGGCAGTAAAGCAATAGCAAAGAACTACAGACCGATAGCACTAACATCCCATGCCATAAAAATCTTTGAAAGGGTCCTAAGAAGCAAGATCACCAACTGCCTAGATTCTCATCAGTTACACAACCCAGAGCAACATGGGTTTAGAGCAGGTCACTCCTCCCTCTCCCACCTACTGGATCACTATGACAAGATCATGGATGCTGTAGAGGATAAACAAAATACAGATGTAGTCAGTGGCGGCTCGTCAAAAAAAAAAAAAATAGATTGGGGGGACTGCGTGACTGCAGCTCCTCGCTGCCAGATGTAACGCCAGTAATATTTATACTATCGTACTGCATCACACTTCTATTTTTAATCATTTTTTCTCGTTTCAACAAAAAAAAAATAAAAAAATAAAAATTCGCTTTTAAATACATTGGAAATAACATACAACAGTTTGTTCTTGTAATATATTTGCCAATTGCAAATTATTTTACAGTAAGGTTGATGAAGTCATACGTCTGGCAGTAAGCATCTGGGGTGACTGCAGCTCTCCAGCTCTTATGGTTGAGCCGCCACTGGATGTAGTATACATAGACTTTACAAAACCTTTCAACAAGTGTGACCATGGTGTAATAGCACACAAAATGTGTGATAAAGGAATAACAGGAAAAGTTGGTAGATGGATCTATAACTTCCTCACAAACAGAAGACAGAGTAAAGTCTGAGGCAGCTACGGTGAAAAGCTCTGTTCCACAAGGCACAGTACTCGCTCCCATTCTATTCCTCATCCTCATATCTGACACAGCGATGTAAGCCATAGCTCCGTGTCTTCCTTTGCGGATGACACCCTGATTGCCATGACAGTGACCTCCATCGAAGATACTGCGAGACTCCAAGAGGCCATAAAGCAAATCTTCAAATGGGCTACTCAAAGCAATATGAAGTTCAATGAAAAAAAAATTTCAACTACTCAGATAAGGAAAACTTGAGGAAATTAAAACTGTATCAGTGTATACAACAAATTCTAACCATACAATAGAGCAAAAAAGTAATGTGAAGGACCTGGGAGTGATAATGTCAGAGGATCTCGTCTTCAAAGACCACAACAATGTATCTACCTCATCCGCGAGGAAAATGATAGTATGGATAATGAGAACCTTCAAAACTAGGAATGCCAAGCCCAGGATGATTATCTTCAAATTGCTTGTGCTCTCTAGGCTGGAATGCTGCTGTACACTAACTGCCGCTTTCAAGGGCAGTTAGTGTACAGCACCATTCCAGAGTGCACAAAGAACTTTCACGGCACATATAAGCACGATAAGGCACATAAATTACTGGGAACGGTTGAAGGTCCTTGATCTGTATTCCCAGGAGCGCACGTGAGAGAGATACATGATAATATACACTTGGAAAATCCTAGAAGGATTAGTACCAAACTTGCACATGAAAATCACTCCATATGAAAGCAAAAGACTCGGCAGGAGATGCAACATTCCCCCAATGTAAAGCAGGGCCGCCATGAGTACACTGAGAGACACAATAAGTGTCCAGAGCCCAAGACTGTTCAACTGCCTCCTAGCATACATAAGGGATGATTACCAATAGACCCCTGACTGTCTTCAAGAAGGCACTGAACAGGCACCTAAAGTCAGTACCTGACCAACCGAGTTGTGGTTCGTACGTCAGTTTGCATGCGGCCAACAGTAACAGCCTGGTTGATCAGACCCTGATCCACCACGAGGCCTGGTCTCAGACCGAGCCACGTGTGCGTTGGCCCACGCAACCCTCTCCAGGTAAACTCCAGGTGAACTTAACGTCTCACTAAGTCTGGTTTCTCCTAGGTTGTCTGCAACATTGTCATGGAGGCCCGTTTGCGCATTCGCCTATATCATGGGACAATCTCAGACATGATAAAGACTCTGGCAACACTCCTGATGACCACCCTGCAAGTGAAGCTGTCCAACCACCTCACTACTAAGGACTCTTTCATCGCCGTATGCTTTAACGATGACGAAGCTGACAAGATCATCATGACCTCCGCTATAAATGTTCTCAATGATTGTAACTTCGAAGTGCCTCCTTTCCCTGCGCTGAGGGCCAAGAAATTGGTGTTCGTAAAGAAGCTTGATCGCTACGTCACCAACCAATCAACAGACGATTTGAAACAACTCACTGAAGATCAAAATGACTGGGCCACCACCGATTCCATCACAAAATTTCCAACTGATACCTCTATGATTAAGGTCACTTTCATTGAAATCTCCAAACATCTCAGGCACTCAGTGCTCTACACACCTCATATTACCGTGTTAATCCTCGCCAAGCACTGAGCTTTGAAGGAAAAGAAATACTGCTTCAACCGCGGCACTAAACGACACTTATAATAACTGCACCTCAACCTCTCAGTAATGCCTCAACTGCAAGAATAATCATCATACTCTTACAGCCAAGTGCTCTCTCAAGAAGGAAATCGTCAACAAATATAAAAATTTTAGACCCAGACTTATGTTTCAATCACAAAGACCCAGACTTATGTTTCAATCACAAAGACCCAGACTTATGTTTCAATCACAAGACTTCAAATTAACATTCAAAAAATTTTCCAATTTACCCAACAGCCTACTTCTGCAACAAATTTTATTCCAACACTCCCATAGGCACTCCAACCAAGATCATGTACTGCACGATGTATCACCATATGATGAACGCTGCCTGTCCTGGAACCTTCAACTCCACAATTAATGAACTCGTCTGTCTTAACAACCTTCCCAGTTTCAAGTTTCCTGACACTGCACCACCAAAAGAAATACTGAAAATCATCTCTAACAAATTAGCCATTCCATCCCATGAGATCTTCTTAAGGCACTCCTGACCCATCAGGTGCCCAAGCCACTTTGCCTGTTCATTCTGCTACCGCCTCCAAACCCATTAATACTCCATTAGAAAATCAAGACTTCACCTCTTACCAAGAAAATGAAGTCGACAACCACATCCCCGACACAACATGGAAAAAATCTTTGATTATTCACCACACCCAAAAAGTCCATCCTCAACTCTGCAATATAACTGTCAAATACGCCTCTGTTACTCCAAACAGGTTCACCCCACAACAGATCCAGTTTCTTTTTAAACCATTCATCGATGACTTCGACAACTCACATACCTGCCAAAATAAATTGCTCATGAAATTTATGAACGGGTCATTTTCACAGTAAACTGATGGTGAACTCATGTTTGCCGTCAAGCGCCCTACTGCTGTTTCTCCGACTGAAGACGCCCCTCTCCGGTACTATTATTCACTTATCTTCACATCCTTGTTCTCTCCTTACCTGAGAGTTACCTACTCGCCTCAGCGTAACTTAATGTAACCACTACTATTGCTTATCGTTCTGTTACTTCCATTTCACTGGTTCAACTATTTAAGTTTTTTTTTCATGTCTCCGTATTACGTATTACAGCTTCTGTTGAATGAGATATATGATGAATAAAAATATCCAGATGTAGCGCCTGTGTCTTATTTATAAAGCTAATGTGTAGTGTTGGTGTTACAGGTGTGCATGTTGGCCAGGAGGTGGAAGCGTCAATGCTGGTGCCACTTCCTCCACTGAGATACCTTGAGGTGTACCTGAGCCATGTCACTAGGCAGCGCGTTCCATGGGCTGTTGAGGTTGCCAGGTCCCTCCAGCCAGTCGCCAGGTAAGTGCATCACAAGAGTAGACCCGGGACATACCTCGCAAGTCCTTGTAGTACCTGACAATTTTTATTTGTCCACCCCATTCTTCAATCTTCAAAAATATTTAATTCAATGTTCCACTCGTCTATAACTCCAGTGGAACCTCGGTTGTTGACTGCATTACTTGTCGAATAAATCGGTTTTCGAACGAGGAATTCGAGAAAAAAATGTACTGGTTTTCGTATGTTCTCTTGGTTGTCGACCGACAATGCGAACGGCTTGGATCAAGGGCTCACAGAATGTGCATTGGACAATGAGTCGACAGCGAGGGTTTAATAATTTTAAGAAAAGAAGTAGTAGGTATTCATATCGTTGCTAGGCATGGGAAGGCTGCCACTACTGACAAACTGGCTGCTGAAAAGTAAGTTACTGAATTCCAAAAGTACGTAGAGGCTGAGGGGTCTGTCCCCCAACTAGTGTTTAATTGTGACGAGAGAGGTCTCTTCTGGAAGAAAATGTTCAAGAGGCCCTACATAACTGGAGAGGAAAAGTCAATGGCAGGATGCAAGCCAATTAAAGACAGGCTCACTCTGTTACTGTGTGGTAACGCAAGTGGGAACTTGAAACTGAAGTTCTTACTTGTTTCTCATTCCGAAAATCCATGAGTTTTTAAGAAGAACAATGTTATAAAAAAACTGGCTATAATGTGGAAGGCCAACACAAAAACTTGGGTGACAAGATAGTTTTTTATTGCATGGTTACAGTGTCGCTCAAACTCTTCATAAAACAAAACAAAACAAAAAAATAACAGGCAGTATTATGTAATAAAAGTATTTGCCATATGGTTAAAAAACAAAATCTGGTGTTTTATGACTATTCTGCAAAATCCGCATCCGCATCGGCGACGATGTCAAGATTTGACATCCGCATCCGCATCCGTATCCGCGTTTTTCCTATAAGCAGATATCCGCATATGCATCCGCAAAATAGTAAGACAGCCTCATACACATCCGCATCCTCAGATATCTAAATTTTCCCATCCGATACATCTTTACTTCACACTGGTGCAACATTTGGGGCAAAACGTTCCCAGAATAAAGATACCCTAATGTTTCAAAAGTCTCTCATTTATCAACGTATCGGTTATGTAAAGCAATTATTCACACCCTGAAGCATGTAATACTCCCCATGTAAGTACGAATAAGGAACAGACGATACAAAATATTCACAGTACGAAACGCAGTCTTTGCACAAAGACTAAAAATTCACTCGATTAGCACCGAAAAAATAGCAGTCCTATTTCTTTCGAAGTCAGCAAATATCTAAATTCCTTAGTTACTAGCTTCTGGCCCTATGTTTGCAGGGTCTAATTCACTAGACACTACTATTACCTATCCAGTGGTGGGGTATTGCCCTACTTATAACCCATATTCTAAATTAGCTTATAACCCAGCACTCACCCTCACTAGTGTTCAGTGGCCACCTAGATTACAGATGTCTGGTGTAGAGATGAATTATCCTCTGTAGATCAGGAATGTCTCTACTGTTACTACCATGACTGCCAGACTTATTATTTTGTAGAGGTGAGGGAAGGTCCGGACGTCATTGACATAAAAAATATCCACCTACTTCGTGATGTTTGGAAACAGTTTCAAGTATCCAGCTAAACATATCGATAAATGGTTACCCCATTACAAGTCAAGACATTACAAGACATTACAAGACATACTGAGGGTAAATTTCTAGGTCTTCACCTTGACTGAACTCTTAAATTTTAGACCCACATCCAGCATATATTCAAGAAGGTCTCCAAAACAGTAGGCATCCTATCCAAGATTCGATACTTTGTACCCCAAACGGCACTACTTGCACATTACCACGCTCTAATCTACCCTTAACTCAACTATGGTATTTGTGCCTGGGGTTCAACCACGGCCACTCACTTTAAACCTTTAATAACCCAACAAAAGACGCTGTGTGGTTGATTACCAACTCGTGCAACACACTCCTCCGCTCTTCAAGAACTTGAACCTACCTAAAAAACAAAATATTCACTCATATTATTGTGCCTTTTTGCATATACAAAACATTATACTCCAATATAAACCCCCTCTCAAACTTCTTGATATCTACAATAGAAAGCACTGGCACAACACAAGGAAACAAAACACGCTTAGACATCCCCGTGTCTGCCTTACACTAGTGGCGTTGCTAGGGTTGGTGTCCCCCGGGGCGGCTCTTTGGTGTCACCCCCACGAAATACTCATCTATTCGTTTAGGTAGGTCGTGAACAACAAGGGGCCCAACACTGACCCCTGTGGAACACCGCTCGTGACGCTCCTCACTCTAATTTCTCCCAATTTATGCAGACTCTCTGCTGCCTATCTGTCAACTACGCCTCTTGCAGGAAAAAAAAATTCATCCTATTCCGTGTGCCTTTTAATTTCCTCAGCAGTCTTTGATGTGGGACTCTATCAAAAGCCTTACATAAGAACATACGAAAGAAGGAACACTGCAACAGCCTTAGTGACCCATGCGAAGCAGGTCCATGCCACCCCCCCCCCCCGGCCTAAACAATGACCACCTAGTATGTATGTATAATGTTCGCCAAGACCGTAGTCCGGGCACGGGTCTCAATCTTGCATGACCCGTCTCGGCTCCCGAGGGAAAAGGTTTCTACAATGATGCGACGAAATGCTGCTCAAGCACTCTTCTGGTCAGTTCAACTGTGCATCTCATAAGCGACAACACCAAAATGTACTCCTAACTATGGACACTACGAGGAGGAGGATATTCCGTTATTACAGGTAACAGCTTGTCTGGTTCGTTGCCCTCCATGGACACTAGTGTGGCCGCAGTCATCTCTGGGTCCTCTTCGGAGGGAATATCACTCCATTTTGCCTGCAGAGTGTCTCAGTAACTTCGCACTCCAGAAGATAGTTGTGTTAGGGGCCGCTGGACAACGTGCTGACAGTACTGGCACATCTCCTCCCAGCCTGCCCTACCATCATCTTGCTGTGGGAAAGCCCAAACGAACCCGAGGGATGGAGGTACACTGCGCTCGGGACCAGCTACATCATATGGAGGGTGTTCTCCCTGAGTCGCTGCTGGGTACCACTGTTGAAATGGGTATCACCTAAGACCTCCCCCATAAGTTTCATGGCTCTGAAAGCTCCCAAATTTGGTCTGTCGTAGCTGATTGGGACAGAAATCCAACATGTGGATAGTCTGTTGCTGCCTTGGCTGCTTTATCTGCCGCTCATTTCCCCGATGCCACAGGCGGGGGATCCAGTTCAATGTCGATCTGTTACCCTGACTCTAAGGCTGTCATTATGCTCAGGATCGATGTGATGAGGTGAACTTTTGTCCTGTGGTTGAGATGGGAAGGGCATTGATTGCAGAGGGAATCAACATGTATGACAGGTCGGAGTCGATGTCGTAGGGCATGTACAATGCCTGCTGAATCGCCACCAGCTCAGCTTGAAGGATCGTGCAGTGGTCAGGGAGTCGCCAGCCTTGTGCGACCATTGTGGTACGTCCCCGCTGCTGCTCTCTTCCTGTCAGGTCGACAGAACCAACTGTGAAATACACTGCACATGTCCTCCCTCTGCCAGTGCCATGCTTGTCTCAGCATGAATTTCTGAGGGTGTCTTGACTGCAGAGACGCTTAGAGATGGGTAGCTGCATGATGCAAACATCGGCTGGATCTGGGCGCCAGGGATTGGTGGATGGTACCCAGCAACAGGAAGGGCACAACTCTTCTCAAGGAGTAGTTAATAGGCACAGCTTCCGCCCAGCAGCACAAAACGAACGAATCCAGGAGTAGTCCGTGAAAGTGTGGATCTTGTGCCATGGTTGTCAAATATCCTCTCCTTAGTGGGGTACCTTGATGCCGGGCAGAATCGGGTCACTTTGCAGGCTTTTATGTATCTTACTCTGTCAGCCAAGGGAAGGGAAACCGGGCCTCAGATCTGAACATACTGTGTTGGTCCCCGATGGGGCCCCAAGCAAAGTTCTTATCGTCTGATTTTGTACGACCTCCACCCTTTGCCTGCTCTGTGGGAAGAGATCAGCAACGCCGGTGCACCTAGTCAATGAGCGAGCGTAAAACTTGTATATAGTACAAGCGAAGTACATCTTTGCTTGCCCCTGCACGGTGCCTCGTTTATGGCTCTCATGGCGTTGAGTCTGAGTAGAGCACGTGACCTGACATACTCGGCCTGTTTCTGAAAGGTCAGCTTTTTATCAATGTAATTCTCAAGTACAGGTAGGAGCCTGTCCACTCAATTCTAATTCTGAATCGTAATCTATTCACAGGATCTGGTCCCTTGAACATCATTGCAAGAGATTTCTCGGCCGAGATTTTTGAGGCCTAGTTCCTTGCAAGACTGCGTAATTAGGTCCAAAGCTCTCTGAGCCTGTCGTTCTAAATTGCCTTTCCCATTCACTACGAGTGCAAGATCATCAGCACAGCTGAGGAACTGTGTACCACTATGAAAGGAAGGCTCACAAGTTCCTGCATAAGGATGTTAAACAGGTATGGACTGAGCACACCTCCTTGTGGCGTACCGTTTTCCAGGGTTTAAAGGAAGATATGTCCCTGAAAGCTGAACACAGGCCTGCCTGCCCCTAAGGTAGGACTCTATCCAGGCCAGAGGCGTCCTTTGATTCCCTTCCGAGCTAGTATTGCCAGAATTGCTGTGGGCTGGCTAGCTCAAATGCCTTTTCAAGGTCGAGGTAGACGACAATACTAGGTTTTTGTTACTATCAGCAATCTGGCTTAGTGGTTATGCACTCTTAGAGTGGTTATGCACTCTGCTGTACCCACTCCTTTGGTGAAGCCAAAATATTGATGATGAGGGGTCCAAGTCAAGTCACTTCCACTTAAGGAAGGAGCACGACACCAGACCTGTAGCCCAAGCTAGTCAGGTTCAACTCACACCCACCCACACCCACTCTTGTATTTATCCAACCTATTTTTAAAACTACACAACGTCTTAGCTTCTATGACAGTACTCGGAGT